CATCTTGCCACCTGCTCTTATCTCATTCCCCCCCTCCCAAATAGCCCACCTGTCCCTTCCACTCCAGAGTGTGTTACAGGATTGGCTAAACCTGGATAGCATGGAAGACTTTGCAGAAGAAGGTCTTGCCAGAGAAGATCGAATAAATTAATAAATTATTTTATTTATTCTATTTATAGGCTGCCTGGAGTTGTTTGGTAGTGATGGGTAGCATATAAATTTAATAAGCAAACTAACAAAGGAATAACCACCCCCGAAGTGAGGTGTAGCAGCTGCAGGACCGATGGGAAGATCTACATTCAGATTCCTGCCACGACTGGAAACATGATCATCGCTGATCTCTCCGGTCTCATAATATTTGCTGTCAACAGAGGAAGCCCGAGAATCCATCATATGGTTTGAACTCTTTTGGCAGAGAGAAAGGTGATAAACTACGCCAGGGCACCTTGGGGCAGTGGCACTCCATCATCGCCAATGGAGAGAAATATGGTGCAACTGTGGAAGTTGTCAAGACAAAAAGGCCGGAGAAATCAGGGACTGCTGTTCTGCAGCCCAGAACAAAAGTGGAGCCGTTTGGAGGATCCAGAGGAGGCTGAGCGAAAGGAAGCCCAGGAGAGTGGATCGCCCACAGGCGGGCAAGGCCAGCTGTTGATTGGAGCCAGCAGAGGGCAGCCTCGTACAAGGATGGGAGCCTGGCTGCCTTCTGAACAGATGCCATGGGGCTTTCTGTGGATTCTGGAGAGCAGGGACCCTTGGCTGCATTCATGGGGGGAGGAGGAATCCCCCACTCTGGTGCCCCTCCCTTGAAATCCCCCGATCAATTCTGGCAAGGCCAGGAGAAAACATCTAGCCTCAGAAATGATAGGCTAGGCTAGGCTAGGCTAGGCTAGGCTAGGCTAGGCTAGGCTAGGCTAGGCTAGGCTAGAAATATAATAGGGTAGAAATATAATAGGATAGAAATAGAATAGGATAGGATAGGATAGGACAGGATAGAATAGAATAAGAATAGGATAGAAATAGAATAGGATAGGATAGAAATAGAATAGGATAGAAATAGAATAGGATAGAAATAGAATAGAATAGAAATAGAATAGGATAGGATAGAATAGAATAAGATAGGATGGGATGGGATGGGATGGGATGGGATGGGATGGGATGGGATGGGATAGAATAGAATAAGAATAGGATAGAAATATAATAGAATAGAAATAGAATAGGATAGAATGAATAGGATAGAATAAAATAGAATAGGATAGGATAGAAATAGAATAGGATAGAAATAGAATGGGATAGAAATAGAATAGGATAGAATAGAATAGAATAAGATAGGATAGGATGGGATAGAATAGAATAGAATAAGAATAGGATAGAAATAGAATAGGATAGAAGAATAGGAGGGAATAAGATAGAATAGAATAGGATAAGAATGGGATAGAAATAGAATAGGATAGAATAGAATAGGATAGATAGGATAGGACAGGATAGAATAGAATTGGACAGAATAGAATAAGAATAGGATAGAAATAGAGTAGAATAGGATAGGATAGGATAGGATAGGATAGGATAGGATAGGATAGGATAGAATCTGGAAGGGACATTGAAGGTCTTATGTCCGGCCCCCTGGGGCTAACCCTATGCACCCTAACCCTATCAGAGCAATGATTGTCTGATCTCTTCTTAAAAACCTCCAGGGTTGGAGCACCCACAACTTCTGAAGGCAACTTCTGTTCCACTGGTTAATTGTCCTCACTGTTAGGAAGTTTCTTCTTAGTTACTTCTGTCCTTGATTAGTTTCCATCCAGGGTTTCTTGTCTTGCTTCTGGTGCTTTGGGAAATAAGTTGATCCCCCTTCTTTGTGGCAGCTGCAGCCCCTTCAAATATTGGAAGACTGCTATCATGTCCCCCCTGGTCCTTCTTTTGTCTAGATTAGCAAAACCCAAATCCTGCAACCGTTCTTCATATGTTTTAGTCTCCAGGCCTTGAGCATCAGTTGCTCTTCTCCGAACTTTTTCCAAAGACTCAACATCTTTTTTGTAGTGTGGTTGGTTGCAGTATTCCAGGTGTGGTCTTACTAAGCTTGCTTGTTAGTTTGGGAGCTGGGTGTGTGTGTCAGAGTGATGGGGGGGATGTCAAAAAGTCAAGATGGCCACTGTGCATGTGTGAGAGATCAAAACCCTGCCCCATTTTACGTGTGTCTCATGTAGAGGAAAGGGGTGCACGAATGTCCCCTTGAGTCTCAAATTGAGTTCCCTTTGCCAAAGAGGGCAGCCTTCCATGCGGAAAAAGCAGGAAGAGGGAGTGCATGGCTGCCTTGCTCCCAAGGCCTCTGGGTAGTCTTTGTCCTGCAACTGCACTCCTCTTAGGAATCGGAGCGCTGGGCGCCACGGAATAACAGAGTTGGAAGGGACCTTGTAGGTCATCTAGTCTACCCCCTTCTCAAGCAGGTGACCCTACCCCATTTCTGACAGATGACAGTCCAGTCTCTTCTTGCAAGCTTCCAGGGATGAAGCTCCCACAATTTCTGAAGGCAAGTCATTCCATTCAATATAGAATAACAGAGTTGGAAGGCGATCTTGAAGGTCATCTAGTCCAACCCCCTGCCCAAGCAGGAGGCCCTACACCATTTCTGACAGAGGGCAGTCCAGTCTCTTCTTGAAAGCCTCCAGGGATGAATATCCCACAACTTCTGAAGGCCACGTCTGTTCCTTGGAGGTCTTCTAGTCCAAACCGCTGCTCAGGTAGGAAACCCTATACCAACCCTAGGTCCAATCTCTTCTTAAAAACCTCCAGGTTCCCCCAAGGAAAAGCAGAGGGCATTTGAGGTCTGTCTCTGTGTGTGTTTCAGATCCTGTTTTCTGAAGGGATTCTACTTGAACCCTGTGCAAGAGTCTATCAGGTATGGATCTTCTATGGCATCAAAGGTTCAATGCCTGATTCAACTCTTCTGAGATTCTTTACTGCAAGGGTGCAATTTCTCCACCTGGGGGAGGAAGCAGACCAGCTGGCCTTTGCTGCTTGATGCACTTCTGCTCCTGCAGCAGCTGCAGCTTCCTTCTCGGGGAGCAATTAGAAAAATGCGTGTCTGGCAGAGCTGCAGTGCAAGCCGGCCTCTCTTCATGGTTAAGTAGCCTCGGAGCAGCCATAGGCTGCCGGGGGATGTCAATGGCCGAGTTTGGCTTTCCAGGCAGCTCCTGGTTTAGCCCTCCACTCATCCTCATGGGTGCAGCCCCTTTATTTAATCAGAGGAACGAGGAGCCCAACAGTCCCATTTAATGCCATGGTTTAGTTACCCAACTCCTGGTTTATGATACAGAGGACTTGGCAAAGGGCCGGCCTTTATGATTGGATGAATGTGCTGCTAATTAGACAGGAAGTCAATTGGCCCCCAAATTGTCGTCAGCGAGCAGGAGGCGACTGGAGAGAGAGAGAGCTGGTGTTCCGGAGGTGTCTTGTCTCTCCATCATTTGGAGGTTTACTGCAAGAATGGCATCTATGAACCTATGAAGAGAAGGACGCGGTGGCTCAGTGGCTAAGACGCTGATCTTGTTAATCAGAAAGGTTGGCAGTTTGTCGGTTCAACTCCCTCGAGCCGCGTAACGGAGTGAGTTCCTGTTACTTGTCCCCGCTTCTGCCACCCTAGCAGTTTGAAAGCACGCAAAAAATGCAAGTAGAAAAATAGGAACCACCTTTGGTGGGAAGGGATCAGCGTTCCATGCGGCTTTGTCGTTGAGTCATGCCGGCCACATGACCATGGAGACGTCTACGGTCAGCACTGGCTCTTCGGCTTTGAAACGGAGATGAGCACTGCCCCCTAAAGTCAGGAACCACAAGCACAGATGTGTGAGGGGAATCTTTTCTTTTATATTAAAAGAAAGGAGGAGACCAGCCTGCTACATAGTGATGCTCTATCCAGCTTCCTCTAAGCTCCACAAATGCTTGTAGCTCAGCAAGAAAAGATTGGACAGCTATTTGCCTGGAATGAAATAAGGCAACTCCAAGGCTGCCCATGGCCCATTAACAGCCTTGAGCCTTTTGGAACTAGACTGNTCCATCCATCCATCCATCCATCCATCCATCCATCCATCCATCCATCCATCCATCCATCCATCCATCCATCCATCTGAAATAAAAACTTCCATTTTATTAGAAAACTTCATGAATCCAATGGACATATTTCCATATAAAATATGGACCATTTAGGGACCATTTGAAAATAAATAAATTCAGATTCATTTGTTTTGGGTGATGCCTTGATGGAAACTTTAGTCGATTTGTACCTGAGCATAATTTGGGAGATTAGCTTGCATTTTGCATACAACTTGTTGAAAGTATAAAACACATTAAACATGATGTCATGGAGTGGAGGCCTTGAATTCCTATATTATTATCTAATTGATAGTGATAAATAATAGTATTACAGGATGTCTTGTTGCTTTGTAGGTAAATAAGTGCAGGGCCCGTGTGGAGGCTCAGGTAGGGGGGAAAGCCTCCAGAGCCTGGGGAAGGCCAAAACTCTCCCCCCCTGCCATCATGCAGGAGGCCAACTAGGCCACACCCACCATGGCCATGCCCACCCAGTAACCAGGCAGAGAACCCATTGCTGAAATTTTTGAAGCCCACCCCTGCCTCTATCATAGAGACGAACATAATTTTGCTGATAAGGACAGTGTAAATTGTTGGAAATTATTGGAATGACATTATTTTATTGCTGGATTGAGTTGAGGAAGAGAATCCAAAGATGCTGAACCTAAAAGTTGTGTGGTTCCCCAGGAAACCTCATTTGTGTGTAAAACCAGTGGCAGCTCAGCTCCTTCCTGCAGATGGGTGACTAATGGACCCTTCTACTGAGGTCCCAGCAGGAAGACCAGCTGGTCAGATATGGGATGAAGCGCCTTCAAAGATACATTTAATATTTGCAAAGCCAAATCCCGCTCAATGTTCTCTCCTGCTGTTTCATGTTTCCACAGGGTAATCAGGAAGCCACTGCACCCCCTGAAACGATGGCCCAGCCTTACGCCTCCGCCCAGTTTGCTCCTCCTCAAAACGGCATCCCAGGAGACTACACCGGCCCCCATCCTCACCCGACCCCCGACTACTCCGGGCAAACCACGGTTACAGAGCACACGTTAAATCTGTACCCACCTGCGCAGACGCACTCCGAGCCAAACACAAGTGACACAAATGCACAAACTGTCTCAGGCACAGCCACCGTAAGTAGGTTTTTTCATTTTATTTTTCCAACCTTCTCCTTTAAAACATGCTGTTCGTTTTCCAAAGCCTCGGCAGGCAAGAGTCCTGTGCCTGATGTTCATTTGGGAATCTAATGGAATGGCCTTCATAGCGGAAAGAAATATTTGGACTCTGAGATTTGATCCAGGGTAAATTTCAGCCGCTCTCCATATCTTTCCTGGGTGTGATCTTTAACAGCATAGATTTTAGCAGAAACGATTTTGATAAGATTGATGTTTTACTGAAGACCTGGTTGTCTTCTGCATTATTGCATGAAGCATTGAACTTTGCCTAAACCGGTGTTTTAAACCATTTAACTATATTTTCAGAAATAGATGCATTGATGGACCGAATCCTAGTTTGTGTAGCTGCAAATGTGCACTTGGGAGTAGTTAATAAAAAAATTAAAAAAACACTTCAAGGTGTTGGGCACAATCCTGTCATATATGTCAAAAGGATAAGGCTGTCATTGTGTCACCAAAGCACTACAGTAGAACCTCTGGTCATGAATGCTTCTCACTACGACCAAATCGGGTTCCAACCAAAAAATTCACAATGATTATTTTTTTCACGGCTGATTTCCCCTTCCACCCCACCCCATCCTTTTTTTAATACAGTAGTGGCCAAAATTGTGGAAANCACTTCAGCTGACTGCTAGTTCTGCAGTTCGGCTGTTCAAATCTCACCAGCTCAGGGTTGACTCAGCCTTCCATCCTTCCGAGGTGGATAAAATGAGGACCCAGATTGTGGGGGCAATATGCCGACTCTGTAAAACCGCTTAGAGAGGGCTGAAAGCCCTATGAAGCGGTATATAAGTCTAACTGCTATTGCTATTGCTAACTCCTTCCCTATTTTTGTTGGAAGCATTAAAAAGAAAAATGTAAACATCTGCAACAGGAGAATTATCTTGTATTAGCTGTTTCTGAAGGAAGCATGTATGTTTCATGTTTTATATATAGTTGTACGTATATTTATTGCTTTATATTCCATTATTTATCTCACCCTTTTAATAGCACATTTTCAATCCCATAATATTTACATTGCAAGATAAATGCATGATAAATAATTTACACTAGCTCCTCTCAAGGACATGTCGATCCACTCCGCCTGTGTAACTCTCATGTTATTTTTGCTGCCTAGTTGTTCAAGATAAGCTCGATCAGATGGTTTTTATCTGGGAGGATATCCATGCTTTGGCTGAGGAAAGGGAAGCGAAGCTCCTTGATGTCATGGAATTAGCCGATAAGTTCTGGTGTGATCATATGGCTCTCATAGCCACTATCAAAGATACTCAAGATTTTATCAGAGAACTAGAAGGAGCAGGGATTGATCCTTCAGTGGTGAAGCAACAACATGAAGCAGCAGAGGTAAATAAAATACTTAGACGATCTAAAGGATGTGATTCTATGCCCACTGCCCGGAAAAAGTGCATTAAGTACCATATTCCTCCTCCAAATCAAAATCCTTGTAGGATACTTCTAAAGAGGTTTCTATCGGTATGCACATTTCAGAAGACTTCACCATCCATGAATATTAAGATGTAGATTAGCACTTGATATCCTAATACAATGTATCAAGGTTACCCTTGATGGCTGGATTATTGCAATGCGCTCTACATGGGGCTACCCCTGAAAAGCGTTCCGAGACTACAGCTAGTCCAGAATGCAGCCG